GCCTCAGAAATGCAGTAGAGAGTCACTATAAAATAGAATTGACTGTGTGATAGTAACAGCGTGAGATGCTCTCTTAGGCTTCTCAGTACTAGACTTGCCTATGCCCCTGGCAGGCTGTACCCTTTTAGCCCCCTTCATCTCCTCCAGTTCACAAAGAGAAGGGGGGGTGGGAAAAGCATGGATGGTGTTAGATTGACCCATATTGACTCACCATCATACCTTGAGGCAGTGATTTATTTTACTAGGATCTTAACTTTTAAATGAAAGAATGATAACTAACTTTCATTACACTAGTGTGGGCTAAGCCTTCTGTAGTCATAGCACCTACCTTATGTCTTACAGTGGATGTTGCTGTTGTTATTGTTGTTGTTGTTAAGTGCTGTTGAGTTGTAGGCAATTCATAGCAACCCTATGAACAAAAGATCTGAACGCTTGTATGATTTTCATCATTTCTCCAGGTTCATAGGGTTTCTGGAGGCAAGCTATTTCAAAAGTGGGTGCTACTCCTGCTTCCAAGCTTGTTCTAATCGGGGAACTTTACCAAACACTGTCCACCATGGGCAACCATTATCACAGTTGACACATCAGCAAGTGGACAGACAAGGGTGATATGACCTAGAAGAATGTTTGACCAAAAACATTTAAAACCAGGCCTGAGGGCTGCAGATTAAAGTCACCCACCTTGGCTTGGTAGCAACACTTTCTGTCCACTAAGCCAACTGAGCTCTCTTGTTGTTGTTGTTGTTGTTGTTGTTGAGTACCAGACAGTTGTAGGTGACCCTATGAACAAAAGACCTGGACACTTGTATAACTTTCATCTTTTCTCCAGTTTCATAAGGTTTCCAGAAGGTTTCCAGAGGCAAGCTATTTTGGAAGTGGATGCCACTCTTGCATCCACGCTTGTTTTAATCGGTGGATACTCTATTAAATTCTATTGCTGTTTAACATTAACGTAATGTAACTGTTGGTGGTAGTAACCTGGTTCTGCACAATGTTGTCATGGCTTTCACAGATATGCTTTCTTTGAAACCCAAGTGAATAGTCCAACTGGTGGACCCTCATGTAACTTATAAACTTAGTAAAGTCAGTGGCATAGTTTGCAGAGAGTTATACTAGTAAGCTCATGCCTTTCTAATTGTTTAAATCCACTAGATCTAGTGGAGTACTGCTAAGGAGCTGTGCTGCCATCCCAAAGGAACGTGGTTCAAATCTACCACCTTCTCTGTGGGAGAAAAGTGAGCAATCTCCTCCCATGTGATTTACTGCCTCTGTAAGCCCTCTGGAGAGTCACCTATGAGTCAGTTCTGACTCAATAATATATAACAACAACATCTCTGAGAGAAAAAGATGGCTCACTTCCTCCTGGGCATCGTACCGCCTCAGAAACCCAATGGAGAGCCATCCAAGGATCAGTTAAAGCTTGACAGCAACAAGTAGGAGGAGGAGAAGTAGTAATAAATATAATTCATAATAAGAGAAACTTTGAGCCAGAGAGGAAAGGATATAAAGAGAGAGAGAGAGAGAGAGAGAGAGAGAGCGAGAGCGCAATTCTATGCTGGACTCATTTTCTATAAATCTAAAACTTCTCCAAAAAATAAAGTACATTAAAATAAGTCTTTGGCGATGGCTACATGGTGGAGGGGACCTGGGGGAGGGTTTGTAAAACAATGAAAGAATCTTTTCTTTTACTTTTCCATAATTTTTGACTCATGTACTTATAACTTGTTAGTCAAATTTGTGTCTTCTAGGTTGCAACATCCCCATGATATATCTTCAAGGATATGAACATGTACAGCTAAGCACAATTAATAACAGTGCATCTATATTCCAAAATCAATCTCCATAATAGTCTATGTGTTTCCTGCTGCCAAAGGGGCCCTTTAGAGTAGTGAGAGAAGATCTTCACCCTGAAACCCACAGCGTCCCTTTTCAGCAGGAAGTAGCTAAGAGAATACACCATCCCTTTTTCCTTATGACTCAGGGTGAAGTCTCTCTCAGGGAGGAGTGATAGGGAATGGCAAAGGACACACTGACAAAGGAGATTAATCAGAACTGGCTTTGACAAGCACTGTGGCAATTGGACAATTAAAACAGACATTCGGATGGCGGGGGAAGAAGAACAAACTGGGGAGGAGGGTGGAGAAAATAGTGCAACAATGAATGAATGAAAACCCAAAATCTCTGTAAATGTTCATTAAAACTAATAAAATTTAATAATAATAAAAAAATTTTTTTAAAAAGTATTTGGCTCTTTGGCTAGTAAAGTGCATCTGATTCAGGCCATGGTTTTCTCAGTTGCTTGTATATGTATCTGAGAGCTGGATGATGAATAAGAATGACAGAGAAAAATCAGTGCCTTTAAATTGTGGTGCTGAAGAAGAGTATTGAACATGTCATGAACTGCCAAGAGAACAAGGGTGTCCTGAAGAGGGTAAAACCAGATTTTTCCCTTGCAGGCAAGAATTTTTAAACTCTGCCTCACATAATTTGAGCATATTGTTAGGAGGGACCTGTCCTTGGTGAGAGACATCATGCTTGGAAGGATACGGGGCCCAGCACAGGCAAAGAAGACCCTAGATGAGATGAATTGACACAGTGACTGTGGCAATGAGGTCAAGTGTGTCAGAGATGGTGAGATTAGCTCAGGGTAGGGCTAAGTTCAGACTCATTAGGGTCACTATAGGCTGTAGTTGACTTGACAGCACACAACAACAACAACAACAGGAGGCAGGTACCAGGCCCATGAGTTGGGATGCTGAGGTGGGGAATCCCACAGGGACATAAGAGAGCCCTAAACAGCTCTTCCCAAACACCTAGCCCTTTACACACTCCAACGAGAAAAGCTCAAGCTGTTATAGAAGGGAGAATAATACATGCTCATTACATCTACCTAGGGAAAGCCTAAATTGTATGACATTTATTATTTATGGGCTTTTCCATATTTGTTTACCACACAGTTTAAAAACTAATGAGCACTTGCAATCACAGCCAGGAAAGCATATGGGTTGGGCTAACCCTTGGAGACTGCATGGCTTGTACTGTATCCATAACTATCATTGGTAATGGGAGGGGTGCAAAAGAGTCTGCTATTTTTGTGACAGGTTGTTTTCTTTCCAGGAAGCAGGCCTGTTTTCATAGATTCAGGTGCTCATTTGTCCCTGAACATGTTTTATTGCCTACAAATGAAATTTTTGAAAACTCTGAGAACTGTTTTGCTTTCTGGCTTAGTTGGTTGGTTTTATCAGTGGCAATGCCTGCACGGTATCAAAACACACCCTATTAAAAAGTGGAAATCCACTCTCTCACGCAAATGGACTGATTACACCAACTTAGAAATCAGTTGGTATTTAGTTTTGGCTACAGGATTATTTAACTCATGCCTGCAGGCATGAGGGGAGAGCCGGTGGGGCGGCAAGGAAGAAATGCAATGGTAATAAAATAATAAAAATAAAACTGCTTGGAAACAACGGGCTTGAGCATGATGGTTGTGAGGATGGTGCAGGGTAGGACAAGATTTCAATCTATTTCACGGTGTGGCTGTAAGTTGTAGTCAAGTCAATGGCACTGAACAAAATAGCTTTGTGCACTTATTAAGTCCCAGGTACTGTGTTAAACATGTAAAGTGTCTAACACATTTATTCTTCATTAAAATATTGTCAAATAGAAACGAAGACGGTTATTTTCAGAGATAGAAAAGCAAGGGCTCCAAGATTTTGCTAAACTTACCCAAACTGGAAAGAGCAGATCTGGGTTCAGATCAGGCTTCTCTAACTGCACAGCTGTGGTCATTACTGGCCACTCTCTCTCCTAAGAGGGAACAAGGTGGTCTGTATTCAGGAAAAGGACAGAAAGCTCAGTCTTGGAATTAGGTGAAACGAGAAGAGTTTCACATTCTCTGGATTAAGCTCACTTTGTTTTCATATTTGCTGATTTAGTAGAAAAACTGATAGAGTTCTTTTCGGGAAAATAAGACTTTTAGCAAGGTGGATTGACATTGTGACTGTATCAATGGACTCAGCATATTGGAAATGGTGAGGAAGGCACAAGATAGGGCATGGTTCAAATCTGCTATTTATAGGGTTGCTATAAACTGCAGTTGACTCTATGGCACTTAACAACAAAGCAACTTTGGATGTAGGGAGCTCTGATACCAGAGTTTGTAGGGAGTTATGCTATTTACCCAAACACTGCCGCTCTCTAGTGATCCAAATCCTGCAGCAGCTCTAAAGGACAAAGATATGCAGTTTCCTCCCATGAGATTTACAGCCTCTGAAACCTAATGGAGGGTCACCTATAAGTTGGTTCCAACCAAACGAGAAGCAATGGGGGATAGTAAAGTAACGCGTGTTTCTGGTGCAGAGTTTGTGTATTGAGTGTGTGTGTGTGTGTGTGTGTGTGTGTATGCGCATTTGAGTGAGTCTGTGAAAGTGTGAATTTGTGGGAGTGTGTGTCTGCGTGTGAAAGAGAGGGCAGGCCAATCTTAGCAGGGGAGGCCCCTGAGATGTGTGTTGTATTCAGATATTGGTTCTGCAGTACTAAGAAAATGGTAGCAGTCTGTCCAGTGTGTGAAAGCCCCCTCTTGCCTTTTGGGAGTCTACCAAATAATGTTTTCTCTGAAAGAAACCTCAGCATTTACTGTCAGAAAGAGGGGAGGAAATGAGAGAAAGAGAGGAAATCGAAATCGTTTCCAGAGAAAGGTTATCTGCTGTAGCACAGATAAGGCTATCTGCCAAAGGGCAAAACTGCAGGCTAATTCCTCAGAATCAAGCCCCACAATCAATCTAAAATAATATTGCATTTGTTTCCTGAGGCTTGGGGGCAAGAAATGGGATGAATAACAATAGCAGCATGTAGTGAGGTGGGATATTGTGGCAGGACCTCCCTTGCAGCCTCCAACCCTGGACCTGCTTTAAGAAGGATGGAGAGGAGGAGGGGAGTCAATGGTCCCCCTTCTCTACATCTGCTCAGCAAGTCAGAGGCCTAGTGTTTGTGTCTTTCAGGAATTCGCCGACTCCGTGTACCAGCTGGTCACACAAAAGTTCCAAGAGTTGACAGTCAACCTGAATTCTGTCCATGCGCGCCACAAAGCCCTGGCCGGGATCGTCATGACCAAAGGTAACTTGCCTTTCTTTTCTTCTGTAGAAGTTAGAATCTGCAAGGAAAGGAGATTCTGTGTTTACCAGATGGGGGTGGATTCTCTATTCCACACAAAACACAAACAATGAAAAGGGAAATGGGATATGGAGAGACCAGTGACAAAAATGTATTGCCAACAACAACAAAAAAAAACCTTAAAAAAACTTTTTACTGATAAGGGTCTTGTAAACATGTCCATTAAAAATCATCTCCATACAAGCCTCTCACTGTTTCCACAATGAAAGCTGAAATAAGCACCTGGCTGGTTTTTCTCCTATTAGATGTTTTTCCGGTACCTCATCCTTAGGGAGAATGTACAACATTGATATTTTTAAAACTTGGCATTCAAGGTTAAAGCAAGGCCCCTAAGTAAGTCATTTCAGATTGATAGATGAGATAAAATTTCCTCCCTGAACCCTGTCAGCACCAGTGCATGCTAAGACCTGGGGCTTTTCAGGCTGTCAAATGTGTAAAGCAAGAGTGTGTTCAAACTCCCAGCGCTGTGCCTAAAGGAGCAGGTGGAGGGAGCCAGCTTCAACAAGTGAAAGGGGAGCTTTGGAAATGACCTTTCTGAGGGGGACCTTTGTTGTCAAAGTGCCTAGTCCCCTAGGGCCAAATGGCATTTCTGAGCCAGTTTCAGGGCAGACACTGCATATCCACCCTTACTCAAATGGAGTTGCCCTATACCTGGCTGTCTGGAGTTGAGGAAGGGGATGAGGGGATAAAAAAAGAAAAGGACAAATTAGGAGACAGTGCTCAAGCTTTTCTCCCATCCAAGTACTAACCAGGGCCAACCCTGCTTAGCTTCCAAGATCTGACAAGATCAGGGTGGTATGGCTGTAGACTGCGTAAGCTTTTCTAAAGCATACCAAGCCCTTCTAGTCCTTCTTCCCGCCTATGGCTCTGTCTTTTCATTCTTTGTCTTCTTTTTTTTTTCTTTTCATTTTGTCTTTTCTGCAGCTGCTGCCCACTTACTTATATCCAGTTCCCACATTGGTTTCCTCTACCACAGAAAGTTAGTTCTAACCAGAAAACTTAGTCTGAGAGTCCTAAGTTCCTCCCTCTGGAGGTATAAGGCACCTTTGTGAATTCTACCTCTGTCAATAGACTCCCTCCCCACACCAGAAGAGGATGTTATTTTCCGATTCAAAGGCTGAGGACAGCCCTGGTCTAAACTGCTCACAGTGGCCAAAACATGTTGTAGGAAGCCAGAGTCATAGAGCCAGGGAGGAAACCTTCGGTACTGTGGTCAAGATAGTGCCCAGTTGATCTCCATCAACTTGGTGAAATTGGTGGGAAGTCGATGAAAGCTGAATTAATTAGCTTTTAAAAAATCTACACAGTAATATCTTAATCATAAATTACACTGGAGGTGTAGTCTGTAGGGAGTTTCACTGCTAAAGAAAAGGTCTCAGCTCTCTGGCAGTTTGAATCCACCAGGAGCTCCACAGGAGAAAAAAGGTGAGCAATATCTTCCCATGCAATCTATAGCCTCAAAAGCGAATCGTGGATCAGCAGTGAGCTGATAAGGGTCTTGTGAACAAGTGCCAGCTCAACATCATTGAGGGAAGGAGGGAGAAGAACAGGAAGATATGAATTCAGCTGATTTCTTTCTAAAACCTTGCCAGAATCTGTGGTGATGGCATAGTCCATGGGGAATTGGTTGTGCTGCAAACCCAAAGGTGGTACTTCTCTGATGGTTCAAATCCAGCAGCTACTCTGTGGCAGAAAGGTGGACAATCTCTTCCCATGCCATCTACAGCTTCTGAAAATGTGTTTGGAGCATCAGCTCTAAGCTGGTTCTGACTCAACGGCGATGTGTTTGAGGGTTTTGTGAGAGTAGAGAATGATTATTTTTAAAACAACCCTTTCTTGGGTTACGTTTCACTAACACACACACAAATGCTTACACAGATGCATTTTACATGTTTAGTCTTTGCTTTATATGTGAAGACTATGGTTATGACATGAAATCCAGCATCCTCCTGGGGTCCAAAGTGCACAAAAATCAATGACTGGTGTAGTTCTTTGCTGTAATAGGCTTCCTGGAGCTTCTTCAACACTGCTAAATTCAAGAACATTGGAGTGTGAGTGGAAATACTCAAGGCACTGTCTTATTTTCAGCACAAGGGTGCATTACTTAACCTTTTATCTTTTGGAAGCTTGGTATCATGAAAATGAAAGTGCTTGCTTCAAAATATTATTTGGTGAGCAATACAAAGAATGTCAGATGTTCTCAAAGGTAAAAGTTCTTTAATAAGGCTAATTTTCTAAGAGTAATTCAGTTCTGTTGATGATATCATTGTATTTGGTGATGTGCACACTATAAAAATTTAATATTTGCCATTTGAATATGTTGTTGTTGCTGTTGTTGTTGTCATTTGCTGAGACTCATAGCAACCCTATGTACAACAGTCCTAAACTCTGCTCTATCCTGTGCCGATTTCACTGTCTCTGACACACCAACCTCCATTACCCCAGTCACTGAATCAATCGATCTCATCAAGGGTCTTCCTCTCCTTTGCTGTCCCACCACCCTACAAGTATGACGTTCCTCTCCAAGGACTGGTCCCTCCTTGCAACATGTCCAAAGTATGTCAGACAAAGCTTCAGAATCCTTGCTTCCAAAAAGCAACCTGGTTTAACCCTCTCCAGGACAAACCTGTTTGTTCTCTTAGCAGTCCATGGTATATTCAAAACTCTTCTCCAACACCACAGCTCAAAGGCATCAACTCTTCTATCATCCCTAGTCACTGTCCAGCTCTCTGATGTGTAGTAAGTGATTGCAAAGACCATGTCCTGTCTCAGGTACACCTTAGTCTCCAGACTGACATCATTGCTCTTCAGTACTTTGGAGAGGTCTCTAACAGACTTTCCCATAGCAATATGTCTTTTAAATTCTGTCTACTGGTGCCAAGAGTGTTAATTGTAAAGCCAAGAAAACTAAAGCTGTTAACAAACTCAGTCTCTTCACTATCTAGCATGATGCTGCCACCTGGCCCAGAAATGAGAATCTTTATTTCCTTGATATTGAACCTCAATCCATATTGAAGGTTGAAGACCTAGACCTTCTGCAGCAAATGCTTCAGGTCCTCCTCAGTTTCAGCAAGCATGGTTGTATCATCTGCATAACACAGATTGTTGATGAATCTTCCTTCAATCCTGATGCCACATTTCTTCTCATAGAGTCCAGCCTCCCGGATAATCTGTTCTGTAAATAGATTGAAAAGGTATGGAGATAGGATACATCCCTGGTGTACACTCTTCCCAATTTTGAACTATGCAGTGTTTCCTTGCTTTGTTCTTATGACTGCTTCCTGATCTAAGTACAGGTTTCGCATTAGCACAATCAAATGTTCTGAGATTCCCATTCTTCTCAGAGTCAGCCACAGTTTGTTTTGATCCACACAGTCAAACACCTTTGCATAATCAATGAAACACAAATAGTCATTCCTCTGGTATTCCCTGCTTTCAGCCAAGACCCATCTAACATTTGCTACAATATCCCTAGTACCAAGACCCCTTCTACACCCAGCCTGCACTTCTGGCAGTTCTCTGTTGATGTGCTATTCCAGTCATTTTTTTATAATCTTCAGCAGAATCTTGCTTGCTGCCTGGGTCCGAATCCCAGGTCTACCTACAACTAGCTATATAACATACTTATCACTTAACCTGTCTATCTGTAAAAGGAGCAAGGCACCATGGGCAAGGCCAAGTCTGACTTCTGTCAGCTTCATAAAGGGAAATTTCCCCATCAATAACATCTAAAGTAACAAAACAACTACGAGGTCAGACATGTCCTCGCCTTCAAACTGTTGCACTTATTTCCATTAATCACTGGGCCTGATATTCATTACAAAAACTATGGGGTTTATTAAAGAAACAGGCTGGGGGTGGAGGGAGGTGGGAAAGCAAAGGCTAACACACAGTGAATATACCCAGATTAAGTCTAGCAACACAAATGCGAGAAGCCTCTGATTTCTTCAGTCATCCAGCACACATTGTCTCATAGCAGTTACCGATCAGATTTCTTTCAATCATCCCTCAAACAAAACCTTAAACTCTGGCTTTGTTTCCAGGGGTGAGTCAGGCTATACCTCTCCATAGTCTCTGAACGATGGGGTTAGCGTTCCCTCTCCTCTTCCCTTCCCCTCCCCCTCTCCCTCTCCCTCTCCTTCTCTCTCATGTTGGCCATGCATTTGTTGACCTTGTAGAAAATGCTAATTAATGGATAAACCTTATGTCTACAATTGAGGTAAGTGGAGACCATAACCCCAGAAGAGCTAAGATAAAGGCTAGAAAAAACAGTTTTCAAAAGTCCTGACACCACATTCTCCAGGACTCCATTTTCTTACCTAAAAAAGGGGGTAGGGGAGAAGATCTGGTATGAAAAACAATGTATATGAACTTTGTATGTATACCAGCATAAAGTAAGTTAAAAAGAAAAAAAGATGATTGTGATGGTGGTGTTCTGTGCCATCAAGTAGAAGTCATTGTATAGATGACCCTCCAGCAAATTTTCAGAGGCAGTTAATTGCACTTTCCTAGAAAACTAAATTCTGGCACATCTTAGAAGCGATTCCAATATTTGTCTTAGAAAGCAATAGTGTTTTTCAAAAGCCGCTGGGAAATTATACTTTAAAATTCCCAGTACGTGCACTGTTTCATATGTAGGCAATTTATTTATATGAATTGAATTTATTATATGAAAATTAGACTTCACAAGTTAAAGCTTCACTAATTAGTGAATTATGAATATTGAAGAACAAATTGCTAAAATTTATTGTCTTACTTTAAAGGGAAGATTTAATAAACACACTGATCTGAAAAAAGATTAGCAAGAAATTTACAATAAAACTAATAGAAAGATTTAAACATATTCATTTACTTAAAGTTGATGTGCCATTTAGTCATAAATCTAGTCCAAATGTTCAAGCAAATGCCTCCTTAAGAAACCCTAAAAAGTGGCATTTGATTCA